GAGAGAGAGAGAGAGAGAGAGAGAGAGAGAGAGAGAGAGAGAGAGAGAGAGAGAGAGAGAGAGAGAGAAAGAGAGAGACACTGAAGTAGAAGAGAGAGAGAGAGAGAGAGAGAGAGAGAGAGAGAGAGAGAGAGAGAGAGAGAGAGAGAGAGAGAGAGAGAGAGAGAGAGAGAGAGAGAGACGTATATCAGAGAGTGCAAGGAAACACCTGTAGCTTGGCGCACAATAGCAAGGGGCTGAGGCTTCGCTAGCATAATGGCCGCGTGGAGTGTCCTCACTGCCTTCTGTTCTCGGTCGGGCCTCGCGTTTCCTCTCAGCTGTGGGGTTTCACCTGCACTTTCTCTTAACTGTGGGGGTTTCAGCTGCCTTTCCTCTTAGCTGTGGGGTTTCAGCTGCCTTTCCTCTTAGCTGTGGGGTTTCAACTGCACTATCCTCATAGCTGTGGGGTTACAGTTGCCCTTCCTCTTAGCTGTGGGGTTTCAGCTGCTTTTTTCCTCTTAGGTGTGGAGTTTCAGCTGCAATTTCCTCTTAGCTGTGGGGTTTCAGTTACACTTTCCTGCTAGCTGTGAGGTTTCAGCTGCAGTTTCCTCTCAACTGTGGGGTTTCAGCTGCATTTTCCTCTTAGGTGTGGGGTTTCAGTTACACTTTCCTGTTAGCTGTGAGGTTTCAGCTGCAGTTTCCTCTCAGCTGCGGGGTTTAAGCTGCACTTCCTCTTAGCTGAGGGGTTGTATCTGCGCTTCCTCTTAGGTGTGGGATATCAATTACAATTCCTCTTAGCTGTGGGAATCCAACTGCGTTTCCTGTTAGCTTTGGGGTTCAGTTGCACTTTCCTCTCATCTTTGGAGTTTCATTTTCGCGATTACCCTTAGCTCTGGGGCTTCACTTTTGCATTTTCTTTTTGACTGAGGTATCCCATTTGCATTTTCATTTAGCTGTTGGGTTTCACCTTGATGTTTCCTTTTATCTGTGGGGTTCCATTTTCAAGTCTTCTCTTAGCTGTTATATGTCAACCTTGTTCTTCCTTTTAGCTGTGGGGGGTTTATTCTTGTTTTTCCCTTAGGCTCTGGGCTTTCACCGAAGCTTCGAAGTTTTTTGGCGGGAAGCTTCACAACTGCATTGTTTCCTTCTCTTTTCTTTAATCGGTGTTTTATTCATTTGTGGAATCATTTGTTGAAAATTATTTATAGCAAAATACATACAAGTGCGTTTGCGCGATTTCTACTTCTGTTTATTGTCACAAGCAATGTAATAATTCTGCTTCAGAAATTGTTGGATTCCAGAAGGAACGAGGAATTGATCATTTTATTTACTCGATGACATCTATCCACCAGCGCTTCGAAATGGACACGGTCATGATTAGCGCCGGAGAATAAATGTACAGCGAACTACTACTCATACTAATACTTCCTCGTTTACTGCTGCTGATGATACTAATATCAATACTAGTACTATTACCTCTATTAGTACTTCGACTTTTCTCATTCCCACTCCAAAAGCTAGCATTACTGTTATCATTACTACTACTACTTCTACTTCTACTACTACTACTATTACATGCTACTACGACAACTACCACAACAACTACTACTATTACTACTGCTACTACTACTTCTATTACAACTACTTGAATTACTGCTACTTCTACTACAATTATTTCCACTACTTCTACTACTACTACTTTTAATATTGTCCCTATTTCTATTCATACTGGTACTATTACTCCTCCTACTTACTACTATTACTACTATATCTACTGATACCACAACTACCATTCCTATTCCTATTACTACTACTACTTCTACAACTACCACTATCAAAAAAACGTCTGGAAATGAAATAAAGAACCTTGATCTAATCTAAACCCTAGACCTGTTTTCACCGCACGTTTCGAGTTAGAAATCCACGGGCATTAACATCAAGTGAAACTCTGCGGTACGACACTGCATGTTTCAACAGCATGAAGATGGGGAGAAGAAAGGGTGGAGGGGAAAAGGAGGGGAAAGGAAATGGGAGGAGGAAAGAAAAAGGCGAGAAGGAGAGAGTAAAAGAGGACATGGGGAAAAGATAAGAAGCAGAATCGGTGGAATAGTGCGAAGAAGGGGAGGAGGGGATGGAGAGAAGAGGAGATGGAGATAAAAGGGAGAAGAAAAATATAAATTAGGGAACAGGGAGGAGGGTGAAAGGGAGAAGGGGAAGAGTGGCTACTTAAAGGAAGCGAGAAAAGAAGAAGTAAAGAGATAAAAAAAATGGGGGGGGGGGAGGAAGACGAGAAAGGGAAAAGGGGGAGAAGACGAGAAAGGGAGAAAAAAAAGGACAAGGGCGCGGGGTGGTGGGTACAGGTGATCCGGTATACATTGTCGATCACGTAAAGATTGTCGGCTGTTATGAAAAATGCGGCCTGGGAGCGCGTGCACCTGGCGGCTCCGCGCGGTGAGGGGGAAGGGGGCAGGAGGGAGGGGGGGAAGGGGACTTAGGCTGTGGCACATCGACCCGGCCCTTC